TTATATGTTATATGTCAGATCTCGAGCCACGGAACCCTATTCATTTCTTATCGCCGTGACGGAACGCTTCCAGCCGAGGCTCAATCCTGCCCGGGCTCTGGCAACTGTCAAATAAATACTTCCCGCTCAGTTGCATGAAACGGGATAACAATCTGGCGTACTCACTACGTATCGGAATTCATTGAAAAGGTCAGGGTGGGTGGGATTCCGAGACGATTGAACAGTAAACTCGGATCCCACATCGGACCCCGGATGGTGTTTTGCTGCGGAATCCTCGGGCGGGGGGTGTCGATGTCGGGGAGGGAAGCGCAGGCGCTGTCAGGAGCGCGTGGATGGGGAGGTGCTTGTTGGTGACATTGGCGAGGGTATACGTGTTACGGCCCTGCATTTGGAATTAGTGGAGCTGGGAGGAAGTCAAATCTGTCGTCTGTCGTTAGAGTGAATGGCAACTAATGCAGGTCGCGCTTGGGAAAACTGTATTTGCTGGCTAGTCCAATGTTACTTTGCGAGTTGTTGACTTCGACGGTGTTGAAACAAGATTTATAGTGAGTCGTGTTACAAAAGAGTTGGGATGGTATACTGGAAGGGTAGGAAAAAGCAGCCTGAGGGGGTTACAAGGGCAAGCTGGCGGTCGAGCATTTGAATGTGACGTGTGACGCGACGGGCCGTAACCCAGCAACCATTGTCCTGTTTCGGAGATGAAATGATGGCAACACGCATCCTCGAGGCCTGCCAAGGGTCTTTGTTCTCCGAATTTCGACGACATATGTATGACCACAATGTGGATGTCGCCACGCCAAAAGCAACGCTTGTTGTATTCCACCTCAACATTATCACTTACCCATCTTATTGTCCTTAACTCTTATAATCTCCGCACAAAGAGCCCTACCGCTTATTCTGAATCATACCCTGGTCGCTTTCATCTAGCAGACCAGCAACCTTTTGCTCGTTGCTCATCCCGCTTATTCGACAACTTACTTACTACACTAATTTCGGACCATGGCTGCCGTATTCTACCCCCTGCCGACCGTGAACAAGCTCGATCACGCCCAGCGCATGCGCCTCGTGCGGTCCAATCGTAAATTGGAAGCCGTCCTCGGTACTGCGCCATACTACCTGGAGCCGCAGTCTCCAGACATGCCATCCCACAAACCCACCTCGAAGGCCCACCGCCGCGAAGCCCGCGTGTTCGACCACTCCCCCTCCTCCTCCACATCCTCCACTTCCACGCTCATCTCAGAGAAGAGCTACATCGCCGTGCCCAAATCTCGGAAACCCTCTTCACCCCTCCCTAACCCAAAGTTAACCTCAAACTCAAAGTCAACCCGGGGCCTAGAGCTCTCCCGCCCCCTCCTCCTCCGCCTGCGCTCCGTCCCCATCCCGCCCGTCACACCCCCACCCCTATCCTCACGCCTCGACTGCGCATCGCCCACCTCCCCTACGTTCACAATCACCCTAGACAACCTCCAAGCGACCACCCTTGAGAAGCGCCGTCAGAAGATGGCCAAGCTCACCCGAACGCTCGGGGAGAACGTCCCGCCCGAGCTCGTCTTTCCCGCCAAGGCCACGCTACCGGCACCCACCGCACGCGCGAGACGTCGCGAGCGTAAGCCCCTCCCGTCCGCTTTCGTGCCTTCCCCTCCCGCTTCTGCTCCCTTGGCCCCACGCAACACCTGCTCTGTGCCTGCACCTCCGCCGGCGACTGCACTTCCTCCTGCGACTGCACCTCCGCCTGCGCCTGCAAACCCCCCGATCTCGCAACCCAAACCCCGGCGGCCCTCCGTCTCCGGCGTCCCATCCGCCACAACACCTACCCCCAAGCCCAAAGGCAACGCGACGACGCTCGCCGAACGCCGGCATAAACCCCGCCCCCGCAGTCTAAGCCTCTCCACCGGCACCGACATGTTCGCAGCCGCAGCACGGGTCCTCGCTCCTGCCCCATACCAGACTGTAGACGACAAAGCGACGAGGGACGTGATGCACCTGGGCTCCCGATCCCCGGCTGCGTTTCAGAGCACGATCACCATCCCCATCTCTGAGGCTGCCGCAGCGGAGGAGGAAGAGGAGGAGGAGGTGACGCCCGTGCAAACTCAGCATCGGTACGCACGCTCCTCGCCCTCTAACATCGATTCCACCTTCGCGCACCGCCCCTCCACACCATCCCACACCAAATCTGCATCAGCTTCAGTGTCGGGTCCGGGGTCGGGAAAGAGCGGGGCCCCGTCGGCGTTTAACTTGGGAAGGTTCGGGAAGAGGAAGGAGAAGGGGTGGAGTGGGGAGTGGAATCAGGATATGGGGGAGGTGGTGAAGGTGTTGAGGGGGTTGAAGGTGCGGTAGATTGTGGTTTGGGGTTGTGGAGGAGGAGGAGGAGGGTCTTTGTGGTCTCGCACTCGTTCTCTTTCGTCGTGGTTGTTTGTTGTACAGCGCTCCTTTCCCCTCGGTGTCTTTCTCTCCCTCCCTCTCTTTCTCTCTCCGGCTAGCCTAGGGCCCAGGTACCTCCTGTGCCGTCTCCCTCCCCCTCATCCGCCGCATCACAGCATAAACATCCCTGTAACATGTACCCCCACACGACAAACTCTACTAGCATATATACATGTACATACCCCTCCGCCTCATGACGCGATTCTGTGCATATACTCTACTTACCTCCGTTGTACCTTATGTAGTACTTAATGTAATAATTAATATTAGATGTTCCATCACCTACTGTGAATATTCGTGTTCGCGTGAGTTGTGACATCCAGAAAGTCTTTCTCTACTAAGTCCGCTCCGACTCCTTCGTTCGCTCCTCCCTGCATCAGGTGCTCGCAATGCCCATTGCCGCATCAACGTAAATGCGTACCTCGATAAGCCTCTGATTCTGACACCTTGTCTATGTCGGAACCTGAATCCACTCTATGCCTCCCTGTCGCTCCTACTGCACAGACCGGGCGCGAACTCATCGGACACTTACCAGTACACCCCGAGGTTCTCGTGAGTCGTAACGCGTAAAGAGTCACCCCACCATTCAATAAGTCTGTAGCTAGTCAATAACCACTTGATACTCTCAATACCCCATTGACTTGAAGATCCGCCGATATTGACACATACATATCTCCAGTTCATTCCCTGCCCGCCGTGCCCCTGGCCGCACCCAAACAACCAGGCGTCATGCGACCACCCCCGTTCGACAAGTGTGTTCTCTCTGCGGGGTAACGAGCCCGTTCACGGCCTGACTTCGCCAGGGTCCCAAGTTGCAGCGTTTTATAACGCCCCCATGCCATGCAGACCCCGTTCACCCACCCACCCGCCCACCCACACCGCCGCACAGGATGCTCCACCTCCCCATCCTCGCCCTCCTCTTGGCCGCACGCCCCCTCCTCGTCCGCGCCGACCGCCAATACACGATCAAAAACTCCTGCCCCGCCCCCATCACCCTCTACATCAACGGCGAGGCCCAACCCGACTTCCTCCCCCCCTCCGGGGGCACCGCCCACCGCACGTTCCCGGACACGTGGAGCGGGTTCATATATACGGATGCGAATGGGGGGAATGGGGAGAATGGGGCGGGGACGACGAGGGCGGGGTTTTATGGCGAGGTGCGTGTCCGAGTCCTACTAGATTGGGGGGAGGGGGTAGAGGGGGAAGGAAAGCTGACTCGAGGTTTCCTTTCTTTAAGAGTAACTACTACTACATCGTCCTGGACCCCAACTACCTCAACGTCGGCGTGCGCATCACGCCCATCGATCATGTACCCGTGCGTTCCCATTCCCGTTTCCTTCAGCGCCCGGACTCATCCATCTGACACACTGCAGAGCGGCAACTTCTGCGTCGAAGCGTCGTGCACGGACCTCAGCTGCCCGCAAGCCTACCCAACACCCCCCACGCGCTTCCCCCCGCCCACCTCCACGGCGCCCCCCATACCGCTGTTCCAGTGCCCGCAGCCTAATACCGGGTATACCGTCGAGTGCGTGTTTAATACCACATTGTTCCCGTATGACTGAAACACTGACACTTGCACTTGCGCGGTAGGTTCTGCCCGAGCGGGTTCTTCCCAGACGCGCCGATCGTGACGCTCCACCCAAATGGAAACAATGAGAAGTGCCTTGATGTGCGCGGCGCGGTGTATGCGAACGGGACGCCGGTGCAGATGTACGTTCCCTTCCTCCTTTGAGTGCGTATGCTTAGGATGTTGCGTTTTGTATCAGATACGACTGCAACGGCACGGGCGCACAGAAATGGAAGCTCAGGCGCGGGTACACGACGGTTCAGGTGGCTGGGACGACGTACTGCTTGGACGCTGGTAGCGGTGCGTACACCATAATCCCCCCAATCCCGAGAGGAGGGCAGATGCTGATTGAGCGATGTTGAACAGCCCCAGCAAGCGGCGTGGGCCTGAAGATCTGGACATGCTACGATAACCTCCCCGCCCAGGCATGGTACTACACGCCCGACGACTATGGGAACAAGCTCGCGGTCGCTCATGGTGGTGCGTCAAGTTTTAACTTTTGGGCTACTCGTTTGCGTTGCTCAGGCTGACGGGATGGTGGAGCAGACCAATGCGTGGACCTGACGAATGGGGTGTTGACGAACTCGAATCGCGTGCAGACGTGGCAGTGTGCGGTGAACAACGCGAACCAGGTCTGGAACGCCGTTAACTAGGCGGGGGGGAGAAAGGTGGGGGATGGGGGTGGATGGGGGTTGGATAGGGGTGTTTGGGGTGATGGGGGTATGTAATGGACATTTTGAATTGTACTTTTCTTCTGAATGGTTTTCGGACTTCTGTATGTGTTGTTGGACTATGGACTTATCGTTGTTTACGCTTCCGATGTGGCTTTGCAAACCACCCCCCGATTTTTGCAACTAAGTAGTTGTCGGGGCTCGTGAACTTCGAGAGGGATCGGATGTATCGACTTGAGCAAGTATCGACATTGCTTCCAGGTTTAATGGAGCATACGAAGACCGAGGGGCTCGCGGTACTGAGGAGGAAACGAACGAAAAATGAAAAACTGATCCCATAATTCGGGTACGGGGAATCGAACCCCGAGCTGCAGCGAGCAATTTCTACTAAGTAATTGATGAGAGGCGGCAATGTTAGCCGTTACACCATACCCGAATGTGAAAGCTCATGTCGTATTATTATGCTTTATCTGGAAAAGGTCTTCTGCTTTAAGATGAAGTACAGCCCACAGTACAGTACCCGTCAACCAAAAAAATCCCAAATCGCTCCGTAATATTACACCATGCAGCCTGAAAATCCCAAGAAAAATGTCCATCTAACATCATATCGCTCTCATAATCAGTCACACACCCCTTACCTCACTCCGACTCCGCTTCTCCTTCCTCCTACTCTTCCGGCCCCCGACGCTCTTACTCCTCCGACTTTTCTCAACAACAGGCATGATGATCGGCTGCATCAGATACACCGCGGGCGGGGAGACGAGGAGGTTCGCTGCTCCGCTGCTGCTGCCGTGGAGGTTCTGCTGATACGGCAGGGAGGGCGGGTATATCTTCTGAGTGAAGGGCGCAGGCGGAGGTGGTACTGACGCGGCTCGCACTTGGTATGCTAGTGTTCCAGGGTAGGCGTAGGAATGAGAGGAGGGTTGATGGACGTATTGAGGTTGAGAACCAGGAGGCGAAATCTTAAGAGCCAATACAGATGTCAGATTAGCATTAGGTGCTATAGTTGGGCGACGGGGTTGTACTTACCACGATTGTGTTCCCGTGCGACGGGAGAATGACCGTCCCTGGGGGCGCGTAGACATTTCCCGACCCAGACGACGCGACGTACGTTGGCGACAGGTGTGAAGTGCGCCCCCTCGAATCATGGCGCGAGGAAGAGCGTTCGCGGTGAGAATAGAATTGCTGGGACTGCGACGTCCGGAGCGTATGAGCGTGACCAGCGACACTCCGGTGCTGGACGTGATGGGCTGCCCCGGTCGATGGGACGGGTAAGAAGGCGCGTGAACCTTCAAGGACAGTCGCATCGGAGCAGTGGTGACGAGTGGACAATTGGGGCTGGGACAGGAACTGTGGCGGAGGATAGAAGTTTTGTGATCGTGAAGGCCTGAGAGTGTTGCTCGAGGGCTGGGGGTGGAGCATCGATCTAGAGTGGTGGCTCCCCGCGTCAAAGGCGGCAGACGAAGTTGGTTCCTTTACAGAGACCGATACAGAAGGCTGCACGGTGAAGGCATTCCCGAACGCTGGCCTCTGGCCCTCGGTGTTGTCGACCCAGTTCGCGATGCGCTGTTGGGTGGCCATGTAGCGGTCGTACGCTCCAGGAGAGAAGTCGTACTCCGTCATTGCGAGTGACTTGGGGGCAGTTGGGGCGGAAAGACATGCATGGCCACCTTGGTATTTATATGACTTGCACCCCTGGAACGTGCCAATTTGGGGGATCGTGCACGAGGCATTGTTGTCATTGATGGAAGGGTCCAATCGTGGATACGCGGGCCCATATCCGTGACTCCATGCTGGGAGCCTGGCCTAAGAGGTTCGCGAGGACCACTGATGAATGATACAAGCCACGCTTTGGCATTCGGTGCCCACAATTATGAACGTCCCATAGGCTCTGATCACGATGACGCGATGGTACCAGTGTAAGTCTGGGCCATCCTCGGATACTGAATAGTTGCTGATTTCACATTGTTTGCCCTTCTGAGGCTTTATGTCAGTTTTGTAATATACGATAAAGAGGTAACAATAAGACCGACCCATCAAGTTCTGCTTCGGAGACCGACTAAGCGGCGGTCCTGTTAAGTACCTTTTCCCTCATACTCTTGTTTCTCGCGTTTAAAGCAGTAGCAGAATCCGCTCATACGATTAGCCTGCAAATTCCGAGATGGTGGATTAACACACAATGAGAAAAAAAAACCCAAAAAGAGGGGGACCCACTTCCTCGCTACATACGCAAAGCTAAGGCAGCTCGCCGCTTGCCCATCGTTACGTTGATCCTTGTAGTATTCTCTGAAGCTAATACCTAGCTATAGCGAAGCTTCGGTCTAGGCCGCGCGACGGAGCTAGGAAGGTGGCATGTGGTGGTTCGACTCGACCAATTTGCAAGGTGCAAGCAAGGTCAATAAACGACGTCACCAATTCCCCCTGAGCAAACTCCGAGTCACTGCCACTGAACTGCCGGCACTACTACGACTAGTCTCTTCTCCTACTAGACAGACACCATCGCTCAATCCTCCACGGTTCTGTTATCAAGTCCCGGTATTTCGCCTGCTTAACCTTGCTGGAAACGACCATGTAGACTATGACCAGCCGTTATAATGAAGGAAAAACCGCCTCTATCTACGCTCCTCTCATAGAGGGAACGGTCACTGAACGGTCACCAGTCTAAGTAAGTACCATTCTATGATGAACTTAGTGCCTCATCGATAATAAGCTGCGAGACGTGTGTGCGACATGTTTATAGGTTATGGTGGCAGACAATATGTCGTTAAGAATTTTAAAATCGAGCACAACCGAAGCACAACTAAGAACCAGCGGGGTCCTCCTCCCTGTCTGTAACGTTACTGTCTGTACAGTATATTTCCCCATCCCAATTGACATTCTGAACAATTTTCTCCAACTCCGTCACATCACCGTTATCCGCATGACGACATTCCTCTAATGTCAGCTTGTTCAGTGGCTTGCCTTCTCGATCCCTCGCTCCAAGAAAATCCATCAAGCCTTCGATGTAAGTCTTCTGAACGTCACCAGAATTATACTCTGCATCTAAGGTCCATTCGCATACCGTCAGCTCGCGTAAGCCCTGGAATTTCAATTGGTGCCCGGTGGCGAGATTGGATTGCATCGCGGGACGAGTTTCGAGAGCAGCAAGAAAACCAGCGACTGGTTCATCAGAAACCACCCGGATATCTTTGAGTACGTAGAGGTCACTGAAAGCTTTGACCCAGAATGCTTCGTCGAAAGCAACTCCCTCAACTGTTAAGGCCTCTAGGTCTTGTAACGGAAGTAGTGGTTGAAGTATTGCGGTTGTGACATCCATTGAGAAGGTCTCCTCCTCCACGGCATGCCAGAAAATGTCGAGATCAAGTAGAGATGCGACTGGGGGTCTCATCGAATAGGCTCCTGGCGATGTCCAAACTCGTATACGTTGCTCGCCGACCGCGAGGGAGCGAGCCGGTCCATGCATTCTTTTTATGAGATTTTCAGCCAGCCGTTTGATAGAGCTAAGGCATTCAAAATCCTTCGTGACCCATTGCGTTTCGCAGACCATGGTGACGCAAGTGGTGTTTGGGTAGGCGATATGGTCCAATATAAAAATGCAGTTGTACAATTGCGACCTGATCTCGACGCTGACGAGTCGAGGAAGATCGGCAATCATAAAAACTTCACTGCTTGTCTGAAAGAGAGGGGAGTTATATACGAGGGTCTCAAGACGTGCCATGGTAGACACCGCGGAAATAAACTGGTCGGCAGGCGGAACAGTTTTCTCCAGCGAGGAATTGATTTCAAGTGAGATGAGGTTGGTGAAGATAGGTGCTCGCCAGTTTAAGCCACATTGCGAGATACTGAGATGAGCCAATCTCGGCGCCTTCCCGGAGAATATGTTTTTTGGCAGTTCATTCCTGTTGCTGCGCATCCTGAAGGTGATCTCACAACTTTCCAAGAGGGGTGCAGGAGAAGCGAGGAGGTCGGTGTAGGTGGATTCGTCGTGACTATAGTAACTTTGGATGCAGAAGAGCGAGAGTTTTTTGATGCGATATAACTGCTTTAAAGCAGGTTTGACGAATTTACTACGGGACCCGACCACAATTGTTAAAGGGGCCGTCCTTGAGCGCGCCAACATTTCCTGCGCCCAATCTGGAGCAAAGAATGGAATAGAAGTCCAGAGTCTTGGACAGTCCAATGCGAAGCGACGCCAGCTTGAACATATGTGAGACATCTGACAAATCCATTCCAGGCGTCGACTGGAGGAGTACTGAGGTGACAACAAATCGACAACGTATTCGAAGACGATTAAGAGGATCTCAGGGGGAAGGCGAGAAACAAGGCTCAGCTCGTTATGGCGTCGTTTCCACAAGAGACTTTCTTCTGCAGATGAACCAGAAATCCTTGCTCGGCTATGTGGATGGGCAGCATTCAGGACGGCAAAATGGCTGGACCCGGGGGCTTGGTTGATGGCTAGAGTATCTGGTTCTGTCGAATTGGGCGTATTGGCACTGATGTGAGATTTCGTAGCATGCATGGTCGTTCTCGTCTCGACGAGGTGCTGCCAATGGTTATTGGTAAGATGGAGAAGCGGTCATGCTTGGTCTCAGCTTCTGAGACACACGGGGCACCAAAATTAGGGGCAAAATTTGGCATACCCGATCTGTGCCTGCAGTCACTTCGGTTAGCATCATCTCCTTCGTGGCCGCAAAATCCAGTGTCACAACGCAGTAAATTCGATGCATACCATGTATAACATTTGAAAAAACGAAGTAATTGGAAGTCCAAATTGTTTAATACTCCACAAAGCCCTTGCAACTAAATCTGGCGTCGGCAAATATCCATAGACGATCCACTCTCGATGGTCCCGAAGGCCCATAAACGATCAGGAAGTCGTCGAGACCTGGTTGAGGTTGTTTGCCGTGCACTGCAAAGCCTGCACCTGGTCAGAGTTCGTCAAAACTCCATTCGTCAGGTCCACGCATTGTCCTACTCCCAAACAAAACATCAAAGATCAGCGCGAGCAGTGCCCATGCAGAAGAACCGGAACGCACCCGCATTGTTTAGTGCAAGACGGGTATCTATCGTATAATACCATGACTGCGCCGCGAGGTTATCGCAGCACGTCCACATCTTCGTGGCCATGCCGCTCGCCGGGGCTGTACTCCTGATGGCCTCAATAAACCATCCGAATATCAAATGGATGAAAAGGGGAAACGTATCGCTACCTGCGTCCGAGCAAGAGTTAGTTGCGGAGACGCGGACTTTTGTCATGCCTTGCCTGAACTGCCACTTCTGCGCGGCGGTACTGTTGCAATAGTTAATCATGCTCATCAGGTGTGCTCGTAGAACAGGAAGCTTAGATAAGGGAGCGACCTACATCTGTACAGCGGTGCCGTCCGCGCAGACAGCTCCACGGACGTCGAGGCACTTCGCGGCATTGTCATTGGGGTG